AGGAGTAGCAATTAGAGCGAAGACACAAAAAAAGACGTTAAACGTCGATCGCGTGAATTATTAATCACGCGTAAGGAGAAGCTGTCTTTCTTCGAAAGGGCCCGAGCTTTCCCAGTCACATCAACACACCTATTCTCGGTTCTTGACGGCACCTCGTAAATCAGGTTTTCTTGTCGTCTGCCACGCCTCCGACAGCGCTTTCCCACTGTCCGAGTTTCTTCCTAATTTCGACTCCCAGAAACGACTCAGAAAAACTAAATCCGTGAGCCCATCTGCCCCCAAAACGAATCTAGTGGTTCCATCTATCCTAGGACACCTAATATGTCCGGATGATACCACCACAATCGCAGCATTTTCTTTCGGTAAGTCCCTATAGCCAAGCCGTTCCCATTCATTTTTTGTTGTTCAACCTAATCCGAGTAGTTTCCCAAAAAAGCTAAATATATGCTTATCCTACCGTATCCCTTCGTAAATGAGAAGGAGGAGTATAGATGACAGAAAATTTGAGAGCCTTGACGCGAGTAAAACGAGCTAAAAAAGCTAGTGTGCTCCCCTTGCCATAGGTCCTCTTTCCCGTCTCAAATTTGGCTTATAAAACATCACAATTTCGCTAATGAGTCTAATCAATATCATGCTATAAGAAAAAGAAGAACGAAGAAGAAAAGTAACATCTCACAAAAACAAGAATCGGATCAAATCTCTTCCTGCGAAAGATAGTCTTGTTGAGACAGGCTCAGATATATCCCTTCGGTCCGAGCACATACAAATACATACGACTCATTGACACCCATTGCTCCCAAGACCAAGTCATAGCCAAGTCTATTGCGCAGATTTTGAGTTTGCTTAAGCTAAATATTATATTCGTCTACCTCGCCCATTCTATTATTTAACATTGTCATATCAGTGTCATTAACACGGATTGAACACAGAACAATTTGAATTCTATGAAGAACGCGCTACAGTAGTCAAAAAAAATTCCACCTATGGTATTGGCTCTATCACATTGAAAGCCTCTGAGACTGAAGACCCCCACTAATAATTCTGAATATTCCTGAGTAACTGCCACGTAAAAGATGAAGGATGGAGACCGCTTTAAGTGTGATGCCACCTCCCATATCAAGGAGGATTGCCAGAGCAATGGTAAGATGTTCACAATTTGTTTCTCCACTTCACTTTTCCAAACTATTGTCCCGGCCCTATCTCCCATTTCTCTCGGCGTGTGTCTCTTTTGCACACAATCTGTACAACTCTACAAAGTCGTCGACACCATTCTCGTCTGACCAACTTGTCAATTCACCCTTAATTACAACTTCTTCGCTTTTCTTCCCCGCACTCACTGTTTCCCCTTGAGCGCGCTCTGAGAGGGTCTGGATCCGCCAGCACATACACTACTGATGAAGACTCCCTTTTTGGAAGCGTTTCCTTCTGGTGTCGCCCTCCCGAAGATGCGTTGATTGCGACTCTCACTTACCAGACATTCCTAGTTAGTCGCCTTTCTTATTGTGAGACGAGAAGGAAGAGCATTTCAAACTTCTTGCTGGAGAATCGTGGAGTCAAAATCAAAAATTTTGCAATCGTGTCCAAACAACTCGCTAACAATCCTTTCCCCGATAGCCACGAAATCCATGTTTTCTGGAGTCACTTTTTCTCTTTTTCGATGTCTCTTCTAGAGAGTTTTGTGCAGTATCCATGACGTAGTGGGAAAAAGATAGGATTCTAGTACGCTATCCCTTTTAGAGTACTACGGTAGCAACAAGTTATTTTGTTGAGAGAGCTTTTTAAACCACAATTAAAGTACATTAATACTTCTAAAACCTGTTCAAAATAATACAGAATATAACAGAATCTAAAAACTCTTTTTCGAAATTGATTTAATACGGTCCACACTTTTCTCTAGTTTACTCTCTTTTTCTCTCTAGCTCCACCCAAAAAACACAGCGGAGATCAAACCGTCCACCTGATTTTTTGTACCTTTGTCAAGATTGAATTGGACAATGCAAAAAGCAAAAGAGCTGAAGGATCTCACGCGTTTTGTTTCATCTTGTTCTCAGCTCTTGCCGACGACTCTTCTACCAATACACACAAGCAAATCTGCGCAAGATTTCAAATTTCTCGAAACGTTTTCTCTCTCTCCGCCTCGGCCATTTTCTAACTTTTGTCTGTATCGTTTTCGGCAACGCAAATACAGGTGCTGAGACTGCCGGGCTGCGGCCGACGATTGCCGGTGTTATCCCCTCTTTAGTACCCCCATCTTCAACATCAGCTCAATAAGAAAGAGAGAAATAGGAAAAAGACAGTAAACGAGGTAAGGCTCGTTTCTCACTTTTCTCATACTTCTTTTTTTGCAAGTTTCCACTTTTTTGTTCGTGACGTGTCAAACGATGAGTACTTTGACATAGACCCTTTGTCTCTTCATTTTACTTTCAGAAATTTTTGCGTGGGGGTTCAAGTAGTGCATAAGTTATGGTACTAGCTATTTCTATCATTAATAGCATGATCACTCATCTGTATCCAGAAACATGCACCCAGAGACCCTAAGAAGATATAGGATGTTTGAAAAAATTGGGAAAACATCCGAAAATTGTTGCGATAAGGATGAGAGACCCGTCTCTTTTCCTCCATAAGTTTGCATGAGAAACTAACTCAACTTATACTTTTGAGTACCACATTTCCGCACCACCCCCGCTCAGTCATTCACTCATGTATATGCAAGTATATCTTCTCCTAATTTCGTCGTACATGTCGAAACACAAAAACCACAAAAATTTCTTCGAAGAAATTTGAAACTAGTGCACTCCCTGCTAGTGAAACTGCGGCTGGATTCAAAAATTCCTGGTGGTTGCTAGGCACAAAGTTATACGAGACGATACTCTTTATGACGTTTTCTCTTCGTCTACTATTCATATTTTTGCTACCATCCCCCTCAGTTTTTTGAAATTCAACTAATAAAAAAATTGTTTTAGCATACAAATCTCAAGAAATGCGAACGATTGAACCACGTTGCACGGTATCCAGTTCATCCAAGCAGTGCCGCGCCTCACGACACTAAGTTCTCAAAGACATACCTCAACAAGGACAGAAAGGTGAGCTCGATTAACTACAGTAACCCAAAGCTTTTCCTCTCATTTGAACGAAAACACATAATTCTTCCCTCACTTCTTCTTTTTATTCTGGCACCTTCTTTTCCTCCTTGTGTGAAAAAAAGAGAGGGAAGGATACAAATTAGTCCAATCTGACACTATAGGTTGTCACTCAAGAAAACGAAGGCAGGACCTTCTTCTCGCCTTAATTTCCTTCTTCGTCCCCGAGCCTTGAAGGCTCTCATCCATCCATCTTGGCACGTCCTACTTTTCTTCTAAAATGCCGATGAAGCACTCAACTCGTCTCATTTTTTTCGGGTTCCGCACTTCCATTCATTATAGACACTGGGATTTTTCTCCCGGTTCACCAAGATGGAATAGAACATGATCTGGCAGGTCCGTAGTAGTAGCGACGCGGGCGTCTGTCAGGAAATTCCCAATTTTCGTTTAGCATTCTATTTTTTTCTGGGAATATATATGTTTTTTTCAAGACTCATATGGCTCAAAGTTTATAGGAAAAACTCGTGTTCCAATTTTTTTCAGGAGCTTTGAAATGAAAACTTAAAAATACTGTATCAATCTCGAAGCGATTTTTGAGTTTTTCAAATTCTGACCTTCAGCAATAGTGGCTATTGGAAGTAAAACAGTTTTTTCTCGATTTCCCAAAAATTCAGAAAGTCAATTTTTGCTTAGAACATTAAAAAGCCTAATTTCTGTTTTTGATATACAGTACCAACTAATTAGACATTAAAAACGCGTTTTCAATTGTTTTTGGCCGTTTCCAGAAGTCTAGAGCTCGATTGTCAAGTGTCTCATCATGTTGAAAGTTTTGGAGGTTCTGAAACAGATCTATATTAAAAACTTAGCTTTAACTGAATTTTTTGTAAATTCCTAGTTTTTCAGTTATTCGCCGATTTCTGAAAGTCACTTTTGTCCCGTTTTGCTGCTCAAAAAGGGAAAAAAAGCAGGTGCCCTTCAAAAATCGTCAAATAACTGGAAAACTGGGAAATTCCGAAAGAATCTGTGAATGCAAAGTTTCCAATCTAGACCGGTTTTATAATCTCCAAAATTTTAAAAATGATCGGGTCTTTGACTGCCGAGCTTCAGACTTCTGAAAATGGTGAAAATCAACTGGAAAAACGTTAGTTGTATATCTTACTGACCGGTACTCTAATTTTTAGATTTTTTTTAATATGTAAACAAAACCATCTTAATATAATTTATTTAGCTTTGATTGTGTAGCCCAAAATATCTGAAAATTTGATTAACGAACTTTTCGGCCTGACACCTTCTTCTTTTTTGACATCATAACTTTATGACTTCATCTATACTTTTTTTTCATACTGCCTTTTTCAACACCCTCTCCTTCAGCTTCTTCTTCTTGTTGTGATCCTAACACTTCTTCGGGAGCCCCCATTTCAATCATCTTTCTCCACCCTATCTCTCACTTTCAACTTTAAATGAAAAAAGATGGCGCGAAGAAAAGTTTGGACAGAAAAAGAACGTGCAAGGCGCGTAGAGGGCGATGGACGGATGAAGATCTTCTAAAAGGATTATAATTCAATTTGATATGCTCTTCGGGAGGCATCCTCTCCTGACAAGATGGAAAAGGAGCACAAGAAGAAGAAGCCTGTCATCGTTTCATCGTCGAAGAGACGACTGGACACACACACTAGACCACGCCCCATACACAGGGAAATCTTTCGAGTTTCATTCTCTCCCTATCCCACCTTCTGTCTGTTTCGCATCTTTTTTCTTCATCTGTTTCTATTCCTGCTGCATATACTTTCTGCTCTTTCTCATTTCTCAATCTGATCATCTCATAATCATTGCACTCCATCCATCTTTGAAAACCATCAAATTCATTCATCACAAATGAGGAAACGCTGGTGATTGTGTTTGCAGTTCTTGTCCGCCGGAATGCTTCTATATTATCTGGCGGCCATATTCAAGGGCTTACATCCACGAGTCGACGACGATTTTGTGGACAAGCTCAATTATCACTACACATCTGCTATTATATTCGCGTTTGCAATCATCGTTTCTGCCAAACAGTACGTAGGTGAGTATGAAAATCTGAGTTGAAAAATTCAAATGAAAAATGTCCGTTTAGGCTATCCTATACAATGTTGGGTGCCTGCCCAATTCACAGACGCTTGGGAACAGTACACGGAAAACTATTGTTGGGTCGAGAACACCTACTACCTACCCCTGACCAGTGCCTTCCCTTTAGAATACGGTGACAGGAGGTATGAGACTATTTTTTTCTAGACGAACTTAATTTTTATAATTTCTAGGGCACGCCAAATCAGTTACTATCAATGGGTGCCGTTTGTTCTTGCTCTCGAAGCGTTATGCTTCTACATTCCGTGCATAATGTGGAGAGGATTGCTGCATTGGCATTCTGGTAAGTCAAATGAATAAGAGAGTCCGGGAAACATCAGAAGAAAAAGAACTTCTAGCTGATGATGTTGGTCGTTAAAACCGCACAACTGTGCAATAGAAGATCTTTTGAGTAAGAGTAGGGTGGGATCGCAAGAAAAAAAAAGAAAAGAAAAGTGGTCTAGAAAAAGAAAAGTAGGTGTGAAGTGGAGAAGAGAAAGAGAGATCCATTAATAATTTATTGCTTAACGATTCCCGAGAAACTTTTATCACCTTCCAAGAGAGATGAGTGAGTAAAGAGGAAGAACATGAAAACGACGTATGTTCCTAACCTATCTGTCGTGACAAGTGACATAGAAATAAGAGGGATCTTCAGGAATCAATGTGCAATCATTGACTCAAATGGCATGCGATGCACGAATGATGGACGCCGATGCAAGAGCGGCCACCGTGCAGACAATTGCAGGTCACATGGAAGACGCTCTCGAGATTCAAAGAGAGGTATAAAAGAGATAGATGTCAGGGACTTTAATTTCAAAGTTTCAGGTCACTGATGTGTCTGGAATGTGTGTACAGAAGCGATGGGCCAACTATGTGACGTTACTCTATGTGTTTATCAAAATGCTCTACCTGGGAAACGTGGTGTTGCAAGTTTTCATGTTGAACAGTTTCCTGGGCACTGATAACTTATTCTACGGCTTTCACATTTTGCGAGACTTGCTGAACGGCCGTGAATGGGAAGTCAGCGGGAACTTTCCACGTGTAACTATGTGTGATTTTGAAGTAAAAGCCCTAACACTGGGAATCTGAAATCATTTTGAAATTTTAGGTACGAGTACTGGGTAATGTTCATCATCACACAGTTCAATGTGTGCTAATGATCAACATGTTCAACGAGAAAATTTTCCTATTCCTGTGGTTTTGGTACTTTATGGTTGCGTTCGTTTCGGCTGTTTCCATGTTCCACTGGATTATCATCTCATTCCTACCAGGACAGGTAGCACCTTTTGATGCGATTAGACTCATATATCTCTCTCCAATTTCAGCACATGAAATTCATCCGGAAGTATTTGCGAGCAACAGATTTGGCCACTGACAGGCAGTCGGTGAAAAAGTTTGTGCACAAATTCCTCGGATATGACGGCGTATGTTATAAAGAAGATTACTTTTTCTCTTTGCTAACAAAACTAATTTAGGTATTCTGTATGAGGATGATTTCGGCACATGCTGGAGACATTCTTGCCACAGAACTGATAGTAGCCCTTTGGCATAATTTCAACGATCGGGTCAGGAAGGTAAGCGATTAAAGAACGGCTAAGTTGCGGATTGGTTTGCTTTTGAATAAGTTACTATCATTTTAATCATAATTCACACTTTCTTAGCATAGAGGAAAAATATTTTGGAACAAGAAAAAAAAATAACTTTCAAGAATTCGAGTAAACATTTTAAAGTTTAAAAACTTCTTAAAATTCTTAGTTGTGGAGAACAGTTAATTTAGTTGAACAGAACAGTTAATGAACCAAAACTCGAAACTGAACAGATTGGATTGGGTGTGGCCGACGTACTCGATCCCTAAAGGCATATCATCATTTCTTCTAATTTTCCAGAATTTCGAACAAGTCTCTGAACAGTAGATGCCAAATCCTCAGCAGCGCTTCTATACTCTCTATCTATCAATGTTGGTTTTTCGTTCCTAATATAGTAGCTCCTATCTGAAAACAGGAGAGCGCTTCACCCGCCCCCTGAAATACAAACAAAGCCTAACAACAAGCCTTTTCCAAACTCACTAACCATATATAGTTTTTGTGTCCACCACCTTTCCACCGATGTGCCTTTAGTGATTGATTTCTTCGATTCCGACCCAAGTTCCAACTGATTCTTTTTCGTCTTTGTTTCATTTTTGTCCTTCTCCGTTGCACTGCACACTTCTCCCAAAAATTTTGATCCAAGAAAAAAATAATTTAAAATTTGCAAAATTTTGAGTTTCATTTTTAAGTTTATCCCACACTCACTAACCCAATTTTTCTTTCACTTACACAAACACACACACACACACACACACACACACACAAACTACACTAATTTATCGTAACCTGTGGTTTTATATATTTTTAATTTTCAACTGTTCCTAACACCACCACCGTAACTTATTTGCATGATCCGTAGTAGGCTAGTCGGATCTGAATACATACTTTGTATCTAACACAAACTATATCTATCACTTTCTCGGCTACTGTAGTAGTATCTTTCCTAGTGCCTGTGTTTGTCCGCTTGTGATGGGTGGTCGATGTGTGACAAATTTTCCTATTTTATCATGATAAATGTGCATTCCAAATTAAGCTAAAAATTTTCGGATAGAAGTTTCGGATAACAAGAATCCTAGAGACCACTCATTCAATCGGACAGACACAAGCGATTGATTTTTTTTTTTTGCAACGATTTGAGCTTAACACAACACCTCACACATTTTTTTCGCTTTTCCATTGTAACCGATTTCAAGATACAATTCAACTCAACGGAATCCCTCAACCACTAACCATCACTACTCACCACTGATCCTTCTCCTTCTTCTCCACAGATATAACAATCACGTATGTCCGAACCGCATTTTGGGTTTTACGAATTAACAAAAAATCGCGAGTATATTGTATTTATGTAGTCATATACCTTTTTCGGAATGCACTATATCTTTTTTCGAGTACATATTTTTCCTAGTTCGTAAAGATCACCCGTCCTACCGTCGGCATGCACAGTATACTAGGCGTACTCACTTTTCTTGCCTGGCTTCTCGTCCATGAACCTTGTTTTCCTTTTCTTGGTTGCACGTTTTCCCTCTATTCGCTTCCCCAAAACTTTTTTTTCACAAATTGAAACAAAATTTTCTTTTTTAAAAAGTTCCTGTCCTCCAAGAGATAAGTGTGCCTGGTTTCCTTTGATTCCTCTGTTCCTAAAGTTCGAAATTTTTCCAAAAAAAAAAAAGAATGCATGTGATTCATAAAGCGGCATCAATGATTATCATTCTTGAGTTCTCCAACCCAAGACTTGCTTTTGTTTCACTAGTTGATTACTTGATTCCTTGATTTCGATTTTTTTGAAACCAACCGATTTTTCAAGGGGTGGCCAAACGCAATTTCAGTGTCTGTCTCCTGTCTTGACAGGGCTACCCAAAAGTTTCCTTTACAAACTTCAAGTTTTAACTTTTTCAGAGTCCAATCGAAATGTTCGAAGGCGGTGTCACTCAGTCACCCAGCAAATTAGACGCAAATTTCAAAACGTGGCTTCTCGGTCAATCGAGGTGAGTCAAGCTGCCGAAATGGGATGGATGTGTTCTGACATGGTGACAGGTTGAGGCTGCAGGGGGCAAAATGAGACTTCAACTTGTCAACGTGTTTTGGTTTCGAAGTGACGTGATAGTACTATGTGAATGTGGGCAAGAGTGAGCGTGCAAATTTAGAGTGAGCGGATTTGTCAAAAGGGATCCATTATATCAAATTTCAAAAAAGGATTTTTGAGAAAATTTGAATTGGCAAGTCCGTGACACTAAGATGTTGGCTAGCAGACAGAACCCACCGCTTTATTAGGCACTGATAGAAGATAGTCTCTAACTCAACGAAGCGTATAGTAACTAATAGCATCTAGAATGATCCCCACCTGCCAGAGAGACCCACAGATTGGTCGAGCCTGTGTTTTGTTGTATTGCAGGGCGGAGGCCAATGGGGGCTCTCGGCTGCTGTCTGCTCGCTAATGTGGCGCCCGAATCAGAGAGTCCGTTGCCCAAACCTCAATCCTCGTGTGTTCGTTCCCCACTTCAAGTTGGAATTGAATTGCAGGGCCAAGCCGCCCTTCGACGGCTCGAATCCGACGCGCGGAAAGAAACGCCGAAAATCCGATGGTTACTTCACGTTCGTCTAAAGTGTCCTTTACCTCTATCCACTGGGGACCTTCTACTCTTCTTCTACTTCCCGAGTTCTTTCCTTCACACATCCTTACTTCTAGCCAGAAACCAAAACCACGTGGTGCTCTTCTCCAACTTTTCCTAATAATCCCTGAATTTCCATTTCGCCTGTGCCACTTTTATATGTTTTCAAATTTCCCTCATTTTCTTCCCATTAATTTTGTTCGATTATCTCTGATGTTACCTGCAAGTAGAATTTTCTGAAAAATCGTACAAAATTGTATGGCTTGTGTGTCATAATTTTGAGTATTTTTCGACCCCCGTTCTCTTTTTAAACCTTTCTTTTTCTCAATTCCACCAGTGCCAATTCCATAGGTGCTCCTTGTTTTGTTTCTTTCAAAAAATCTCAAAAACACACATCGACACGCCATAACCTCTATTAATAAAAAAACGAACACTCCCGCTGAATGGATTCTAGTCATGTGTTGTACAGCCCCTGTCCATCCCCAATCCTTCCCCTCAAAATTTCTTTCCTTTTATTGTATTTGATTATTTAATTGTCTTTCTATCACCACCAACCTTCATGAAACGCACTTTCCCATTTACAAAAAACAAAAACGATACAGTGACTGTTTACAGCGGGTGACTCTGACAAAAATTGCAATCTATCCTCATTTTTCAATAAAACTTAGGCACTCAAAAATAATCAAAATGCAATATAATAAGCTCTTTCAAATTTTATAGGAATTTTCAAATCCCAACATTTTTTTCCAATTGTTTTTTTTTCCAATTCTCTTAGGGAATTATTCTCTATACAGTCTTCTGCGGGTGTACTGGTTTTCCTCCTCTTCCTCCTTTCGACCCCAACGACAAAAAACACACACTTTCTCAAAAACCTTTCTTCCTTTTTCAATTTTCTCCTTCTCTTCCCAAATCTTTCCAATCGGTGACTTTAATACCAATTACATTTTTCATAATCCAAATTTTCTCAATTAAAAAAAGACATGAAACTACAAAATAACCTTACAACTTTCCAATGCATTTCACCTTTGAGGTAGTTTTTTTTTTCAATTATTGTATGGAATTTTGCATGGTGCATCTCCTGCTTTCACATCCCCCAAAATCCCCCTCTCAATGTCTCTTTGTTTCTTTTGTGAGAAATGAATAAAAATTTCACTTAAGAGACTAGATTTTTTCAAAATTTATTTGTGTGTATTCGCAATTTAGTTTTCAAAAAAATTATTCAGAATTGGGGAATTCGAAAAAAAAAAGATAAAAATTATAATTTCAATATCACAGGGTCGTGGGTGCTCACTGAGACGAATGGAGGTGTGAAAAACTAATGATAAGATGTGATCAGCAATATTCAGTGGATGGGAAGTGTTTCAGAAGATTATCGAAATCTGAGGAATCAAAATAGTGCGATGGTGACGTGGCCATTCCTTTCAGCTCGGACACATTCAACCCCGCATTCTTATCAGTGCTGATTCCAACTGTGTACACTGTGATTCCTTGTCTCTTCAGTGCTTCGATTCCTGAAAAAACTTCAGATACAATAAGACAGATCGAGTTATCAAACTCACCTTCAGCGGTATCTTCTGCACTGTAGCCGTCAGTGAAGACGAGTAATTTCATTTTGCAGTTGTCTCTCTTTGAGGCTTCAAATAGCAACGCCATTCTTTTCAGAGCCTGATTGGTGAAAGTTGTTCCTGAATAGAATGGAGACTTCTCGATAATCTTCTCCAATTGATCCTTTGTCTTATTCTGAACGAAATCCGCAAGTACTCGAGTTTTGGACTTGCCAGCGAATTGAACGATTGCGACCTGAAATCTGAAATTTTGTTGCCAAGCCTTCTCGTTTTTTTTTATACTGACCCGAGTCAAATTTGGTCGGATAGGCATCTGTTGTACAGTTTATTGGCTATTTGTAGCTGTGTCTGGAAGTTCTTCTCCAACGATCCTGATGAATCGAAAATGATTCCAACATCGTATTGGCAGTCATTGACTGGTAGTTTGTCAGTTGGTTCCGTTACAGAGTCCTTGGCTGGTTCATCTTTTTTAATATTCTCGTTTGTTTGAACTGATTGTCTATGGGAGAAAGCATCCGATAAAAACTCTCCAGGATGTACCAATTCGACGGGATTTTCGTCACGTAGCTGCTGGGCTCTGGCTCTAGCTTCACAGTTCTTGATTCGCTTGACCACAGTTCCATAGGACATTGATCCAATCATAACATTGGATTTGTTTCCGGTGATTAGCTCAAGTTCTTTTCTCAAGTATATTTCACCAATCGTCACGGCATAGACCACGGAATTTGGCACTTCTCGAAGGAGACGTGCTCCGCTTTCAATAATATCGTAACTATAAAATATGCTTACATAGAATTTGATCAACATTCTGGATTTTACCTGTATCCGTCGGTGAGAACCACATAGTTAAGAGTCAGATTGTCACGACGGCCTTCAGTATGGGTAGCGGCAAACTTCAGTGCCTCTCCTGTAGCGGTGATCCCGGAGAAGAAGGGCAAATCTGCAAGTTCAAAAAACAAATTAGTCATGTTTTTTATCTCTTCTCTTTCTTTCCTTCATTTAATTCTTGCTACCGTCCTACAAAAGTACACCATGTCAAGGTGTTTCAAATCATGTGTAGCGACAGTAGTAGGAAAAGATATATCTCTCGATTAGGAACTTTTGGGGCAAGTTGAAAAAGGAATTTGGAGTAATTTGAAGTATTGTAAACGTTTACAAGAAATAGAGATGAATAACATTTTCTACCTAATACAAGTTGGGATCACTTACTGTCTACAGCTTTCATAAGGGAAGCCATATCTTTGTGCTCGCCGAGCTTGATTTTCTGTCTTTGTTTCCGTTCACTGCTATAGACAATTGCTCCAACGTGATCGACTCTAGGACGGATATCCAATCCTTCGATAACCTGAAATCCAAGCTACAAAACTATTCTATCCAATCAGTAAACCAACTTTCTCGATGAACTTGATTTGCTCATCGAAAACTCCTTTGACGGATGATGTAGCATCAATAATGAAGACGATATCCGATGGGCAGTCAATTCCAGTTTTCTCTGCCTCTTCGTCCATTGATTGCATTATATCCGGGAAGTCATCTTGTCCGCCTAAAGAAATTACGATGCATATAAAGCCTTAACTGTTCTACCTTCGTATTCTGGCAGCTCAAAACCAGCTAAGTATTCTAAATCCCACCCACTTCCGCTTCCATTTTCAGATGCTGACTCTGGTAAAGATTGGAACCCAGAGTGGAATCCGAATTCTTCTTCGGCTGATCCCTCAACTCCACTTCCATCACCAGATCCGACCTCCACGTGATCATCTTGCTGTTCTGACGTTTCATCAGCGGACAGAGACTGTCCTGAAGATTCCTCCTGTGCCTGAAATAGTTAGTTGTTGTTTTTGGCGCGGGCGAGTTAGTACTATTGAATTAACACTATCAGATACTATCATTTGATAACAACCTGTGATCAGCTGGGAGAAACCTGTTTGAAGTGACCCTAATACATACCTCTTTGGTCCAGATAGGCATAGGTGGGGCGCGAAGACCAGAGGTGGGAGTAGTTTCGTAGATGAGTTGTGGATCATATCCTGGAGGGTCTAGTGGGGGCATCGGGGGCATGTGTCCTGGCGGTGAGTAGGGTAGGATATTGTCTGGATTCTCCGGTGGATACTGGCCATTCTGAAAATTTAAGGTTTCTTGTAAAGATGAGTTCTGCAAAAATAGCTCACCCCAACCACCAGTAAAGTCAAAAAAAGGGAACATGCAATCTGCTGGTTCATCGTTGAAACCTGAACTGTTGAAAAATTGAAAGGATAGAAGAAATTGAGAAAAAATATAAAAAAGATGATACAAATTTGATAATTAGAACAGTATAACGCAACTTTTTATACTGTCTTCCGGACGATCAATCGTTTTTTTTTCTACTTGTTTCTTTTTTTCCGAGACTTACCCCTGTTGCGCAGTGATAGGGGCGGAGTCAGGAAATGGAGACAACTGAGATGCTTATCAGACACGCACCTTCAACTTGGCAGTAAAGTGCGAGTGAGGCGAAAAAAGAGAATTGAAATCAAATTCGGAAATTGGAAATCGTAAAAAAGAAAGAGAAATACAACTGTCCAATGTAACCGGCGATGGGTCTTGGGTTCTTTTGGAAGTAGGCGACGATAAGATGTATAATAGGTGGTTGGAAAGGGGGAGGGAATGATCTGAAAAACCTGAAAATGAGATGGGAATGGAGATGAAGAGACAAACTTTAATTGAATTGTCTATTTTTAAATCTTAATTTCTTTTTGGATTTCTGAAAGAAAAACTCTTAAATTTTGCATAGGTGTTATAAAAAAGGTAACTACTAAATCTGCAAAACTGAAATTAAATTTCGAAATCTAATGCGAAGAAATCCGAATTCGAAAGAAATGAAATCTGGTTTTTTTTTGAAGTTTTCATTTCATACTCAAAAGAAACTTTTTCAAGTATACCTAAACCGGAATTTTAGCAAAAAACTTGGAGGGTCCAACATTTCGAGAGTGCATCAGGGTGCAAAAAAAACCTTCAGGAATACGAAATCAAAAAAAATTCAGCTACTTTTTATCCCTGAATTGGTTTGTACCCCAATGGCATTTTTGTACCAACAAAATTTGAAAAAGTGGAAGAGAGATCGGATTATAGATCTTGGACCATGGGTGTTCATGCGCCATAAGATTTTCAGATTCGAATTATTGAAAATCCAAATTGCTTTAATCATTTGTGTGTGGATGTCGAATGTGAACTTTTTACAATCAACTTCATCCCAACATTCAAAATTTGATGATAAATGATGTCACTTGCGTCAATGACTATTCCATGCTTAGTAATCTGATCTGATCTTTGAAAGGGATAATGATACGTGTCCTTTTTGCTTTACACCCGAGAAAAAAGTTCTTCTTGTAATTTGATGTCCATCTCAAATTCTGTCATATCGTCTTTTCATCAAACTTCCCCTTCTATTTCCCTGCTAAACAAAAATTGCCGGAAATTCCATGCTTGACCAACTGCTTGGGACCATTGATGGCATATAGATAAAACCTGCTCTCTCTTCTTAATGCATTTCAACCCTCTAATTTTGAAAAATTTTCATCTGATCATTTCTCCCTTTTCCTTCTTTTTTTGCCCCATCCTTTTTTTTCGAAACAAAATTTATTGAAGTTTATTTAATATCATCATTATCAACTGAGTATTACAATATACAAACTGAAATTGATAGGAAAATCGGACAAGAATTGAATGGGATGGACGAGAGAAAGTGGAAGAGAGATCAGATGATAAAATGGCTGAGATGAGATAGGGAAAAGAAAAGAAAGTTATTTAGTTTACAGTGAAAGTTTGGGAAAAAAGGGTTATGGAAAGTTCTGGACGTGATTACAACAACAAGAGAACTGATCAGAGGCCTTTGAGGTTAACTGGTTATGAAACAGAGACAGATAAATGTTTGCACGAAACCGTAGTCGAGAATACTGTAGCCGATCAAAACACACAATAATCTCAAAGACCATTGAATGGAATGAGAATGTTTAAGTCAATCATGGTTATGAGCTGGAGCATCAAACTCGAAAGTCAGGATTGGACGTTTTTGGCGTTCACTCAAAAGATCTGGAAATACGATATTAATCAATGCTTTCTTCGTTTGAAATACCATTCAGAATACTATTCCATGGCAACGTGACATAGGTCAGGAATGCATTCAAAGGAGTGCACTCGGCACGTTTCTTCTCCCGAAGTCCATGCCAAACTTGAGCGAATCCACGCATTGACCATAGTTTATTTGTCGGGCCTTCATCGAGTTCTAAAATAACCGAGATTCCTATTTCTGTCTTTTATAGGGTTGTCTAGCGCTTTGACAAAGGTCACTACTATCTTGAATGTGTCTTCTTTGAAATGTATCTTTAAAAACATCGCTTATACCCTTGTGGGGGTTTCATCAAACTATAGAAGACGATTCTTATATCAGAAATCGTAAACAGGTTCAATAGTTCAATTGTGTGTTGTTTTTTTATTTTCTTTCATCGTTTCTCAAAAATCATAGAACCAACCGTCATCAATATTGCTTCCTTCGACTTCTGGGTATTGATTAACAGTATCCGCCTCACTTTGCCAACGACGTCCACGTGAAGAGTGGGATGGTGTGGCTATTGAACGGGATGGAAACATGCGAGTCCCGCCAGCGAGATTTGTTTCGGACATGCGTCGTTTCCCCAGTGATTGTTCCACCTGAAAGCGACAATTTGTGTTGATTTGACAGTTTTTTGATGAGTTTAGATGACAGTTTTATGAGGGGACTGATGATGATAAATGTTTACAGTAATTGGATACAATGTTGCATCCTTAGAAACTGGTAAAGATGTCTGTGAAAGGTGATCAAGAAGAAAATATGATTTTTGATAAGTTGATCGAAAAATTGTGTTGTTAAGCCACCGGGGACTGGAACTCTGAGACTTTATCACATTCTGGGTTAACTACATTAGTACTTTTCAGATTCTAAACTGAATGAAAACTGGTAAATTATATTTTCAACCATTTCAAAACTTCAATCCATTAATTGATAGAATTTTTGTTTCTTTTTCGATCATCAATTTTCACTGAAAATTTGAGAACAATCATAAGCTGAACACCGTGGAACAATTCATCTTGTTTTTAAAAAGAGTATGAAAAAAAATATCAAAAAAAAATGTTATACATCTGGCGGCTACTCGACATTTTCAAGTTTTTTGAGTTTCTTCCAGAAAATAGGTAGGGCTTTCAAAAAGTTCAAATAACTGTAAATGCTCCGATAATAGGCTACACTTTACGTGCACTTTACTTTGAGCTCAGTTATATCTGTTTCAATCAGAGATACCAAAAATTGATAAACTTATAAAATATTGGTAACATTGTGGTAAATTTTTTAAAGTTGAAAACTGTTTGATACCTTCTGTAAGAACCGATATAATGAAGCTCAAAAACACATTCAGTTATGATTGAGCGGTCACGGTAGTTCAAGAAAGTGTGCGGCTTATTTCGGAGCAGTAAAAATATTTGGTCCATAGTTTTCTTTAAACATCTCAACTCTCCAAATCATTTTAACTCAGAAAATGTACTGACTGCATCATAATGCTCAATGCACTTTTTTTAAAATTTTTTTGTAGATGAACTTTCTCCCCTACGCCATAAAAAAGCTTCCTCTCCCAAACTCACCCCAGCCAGCTCGGAGAAATCGATTGGGTTCTCGGTGAGTGGCGTTTCGTACCCACAATTCGGTACTCTCGTCACCGCCATTTCCGCATAGCCTTTCCCTTGTGGTCCACGCATTCGTACAAACTCTTGCCGTCGATCGCCAGCCTTCATCAGCTTTTGTGCCCATTGCCATGTGGATGAGGCTTTCGTGTCGTATACTTGTTTCAGAATTTCATACCGTATTGAGCCAAGAAACACGACTGATTCTCGAGTTTTCTGACGATCCCGAGCTACCAGCTCGACACAAACACACTCGCCGTCACGGACTATCACATCATTAAAAATCTGAAAAACATTCGACTATGAATAGTCAGAAATAAAACGAAAAATACCTCCTCAAATCCGTCAATGGCAAAATAGAGTTTGGGATAAGTGATCTCTTCGTTTTCACCTTTACTATCCATTCGTCGTCGACTTGGCGATGGGAACACTCGTTGACAGTTCTTCCGAATGATTTGCAAATTTTGAGGACCAGTCTTAGTACAAACCGCACATGTCACATAGAAGTCAATCTGAATTTTTATTTATCTGGCTGACTAGCACAGCTCATCCACAAACCTGTTGCATGATAATGTTCAGACATACAGTCTCCTCCCAATTATAATTGTCGTCTGCCGGTGCTGGCTGATTCTTTCCATTACGACGAAAGACTTGAAGCAAGCTTTGATTCTTTAAAAATAGTAAGAGTTCATTATGAGACTAATTATTACTCACCCCTTGAATATAGAAAGAGTTGGTCAGTTTTGCCTGATTGACATACCAAATCATATCGTCAGAATGAGCTGAAAATAGACACTTTGAGACGAACCACTAATAAGGCACAGAAGATGAACCACTAACCATGACACTTCGTAGATTGACAATATGCATTGCCAATAATGAACTCCATGAACAGTTTGGCCCATTTCACTTCATTATTCTGTACCATTGTGAATCCATCGCCATCTGAAAAATTTTGCCTGAATTTTTTGTCCCCTATTTTTGTGGATACCTTGCTGTGTAGCCAATTTCCGGAGAGCAGTGACGCGTCGAATTGCTTCAGCGATACAATTGCATGGCGGTTGTTTGACGATGTTCTTTTCTGAAATTGGAGATGAATTTCAAATTGAACAAGATTTATTTTTCAAGAAAAAGGCAATTGAAAAGCAAAATGTTGCGTGTTTAAATTATTTCGAAGAAACCCAACACTTTCAAAATATCGTTTTTGGTATCAAAGATGCCTTAGTTTCAGCAAATTGAATTTTCAGACACGAGGTGAGCTTTCGCAGGTGTTTGAGAAACCGAATCTCTGAGATTTTCATCTCTCTTGTTGAGTCAAGTTATTTTCAGGTGGACTTAAATTCCCAATAGAAGACTCACCCGGCTGATTGAATGTTTCAAAATCCCAGTTGCAATTCTTCGGTGTAACCAAGTCGCGGATAGTTGAAGATCCCGATGAATTCATTTTTTTCTAATTTTACTGCATGCCTTTTTTTTCTGAAAACAAGATAATTGGTTGAGAAGAAAGGGAAAAAAAGAAAGAATAACAAGAATACAGAATGAGAGCATAGAAAAAAAGAATAATCTTATTACACCGGACGAGACACCGAGGAATGCATTCCAAACTGGAATCAAAATGTCGTCGTTGTCGCCGGAGGAGCCAGTGATGTACAAAAAAGGAGAGGAAGGAAAAGGGCAGTGGATACAAGCGTGAAAACCGAGACATGGAAGGCTTGTCTTGGAGAGGCGGCGACTCACTTAACACCGAAAAGCGAAGGGAAAGGGAGAGAAAAAGACTCGAAAATCAATAGTAGAGCGCAATGAGCACCGAAATTCAAATGGAAGAAAAAAAAGAGAAAGAGTGAATGCATCGAAAAAATGGTGGAGCAGTTGGGAAAAAAATATATATAAAAGACTGGTGTGCAGAAAGTTCTGAATGGTCGTTTGCTAAGAGAGTCCTCATCCAAATCAGACAAAAGTTGCAAGATTTAAGATTACAAAATTTCTCACTTCGACACGGAAATTGAAGCAGAGAACCAAAAGGTTTGGAACTTTTAGAAACTTTCAAAAACCACTTCGCCAAACTAGTTTTCTTCCTCCTTCTTCTCCTTCCAAGAGCTCTTTTCAAAATACAACACTACCAAAAAGCAAGGAGAGAGGGAACAAAACAAAAACATGGCATAACATGGCACATTTCATGTTTTTGTCGTGGTGAAGTGGACAATTTTCCTGAGCCGATGGGTTTTGGAGACATGGATTGATGCTCTGTTGGCGCTAATGCTATGCATTTTTGTCTGTCTAAAGCCGATAATCCGTGATTAGTTCTCCTGAACGGATTGGAAGAAAGATATCTCTAAAAATGTCGCATTCTTTTTTTGTTGGTAGAAGGAATATTACAAAAATTATGTATTCCTCTTTAGAAGGAAAACATGTTTTTGACACGCGCAAAGATGTTTAGTTGTTTTTTCGTCTCTTTTTTTTAGACCTTTCTAACTGGGAAAGTGGAGAAATGTTCAAAAATGAAGTACAACAAAATATCTACAAGCAAAAATACAAATTCCACGTATTACTTATTCTAACGAAACCCCGATTTTTGAATGAACCAGCAGAATTGAGTTTTCAGGCTAGCATCACAAAAAATACCGCCTATTTATCACGAAAACTTGAAAAAATCTCTCGAAATAATATTATTCGATAATAAAAATCATCATTTTCTGGAAAAAAGCGGCGATAAACTTCAATATAGAGTACGCGAACAAGTGAAAATGAGTGAAAATGCAAACGAAAGTAGTGTATTATTGGAAAAACATGCGAGAGACTAGTCGGAGGTAAGAGACGCAGAGAAAACACTTGCGAGGAAGGGAGGAAGTGAGCAAGTGCGCTCCGCCGAGAATAATGGGTGGTGTGAGGATAATTTATGCGAAAATCAAAGAATTCTTGGAGGGAAGCGTTTCTTGAGGGAGATAAGCTCAAAGTGTTTCTCGGAAATCGACAAATTGGGATTTTTTGGAAAAAATCTTTATGAAACTTTTCAAAATAAATCATTGTAATGGAGAATTTATAATTTAAAAATAATTGAGATTTCTCAAAAAAAATCCATTTTCTGAATGAATAAATGGATATGCGACATGTATGCCAATATCTTTTCAGTTTTTTCATTTTTGTTTCGCTATAGAGAAAATCTGCTAAAACAAATTTCATCTTCCATAGGATGTTCAAGTCTAAAACACAGTTCAATAATATTTTGTTTAACTTCTGGTTATTTTTTGGAGACTGAAAATGTTTTTTATTAGTGTAAAAAAGGTAAAGAGCGGAGCGACGAACTATCACTGTGGAATCCAAAGACAGGTGTTAGGAGCACCGGAGAAAACATGATAGTTTTAAAATGTACTACTAAATATTGCATCAAATTTTTAGTATCGGTGGGAAATGTTTGAACGTATTGACAATTAACAAAAACATTTATTTTCACCGCTACTGCGGTTTTGCTGTCATGCCGTTGTACATCGCAGTTAACGACCATGCATGTCATTATCATGGAGGATGGATACAGCGTGATCATTAAAAACAAAGTATATCTCTAAACATGAGTTTTTAAGATCACCATCAATGAGGAATGGCACAAATTTTATTACCAGCACATGTTGCCATCGCACATAGACAACCTTACAATTGGTGGCGACGTTTTGGTGAACATCGTCGTCGTTGAAGAACTAGAAGAGGAAGATGAGGAAGGAGATGAATACGAGGGTAAGGAAGATGTAGAAAATTGAGTTGATAAGATGACAAATAATTTTAAAGGTTTTTTTAAATAAATATCTCTTACCGTTGTTTTAAAACCTGTTTGGTCTACCACGGAAGGGCGTAGACCATGAAAAAAATCTAAGGGCTATAAACAATTCTAAGGACCAAAATAACCGACGGGAGCCAAAAACTGTACAATTGATGAATCACTGATACCGTAATTGCTCTAATTGAAGCCTGACCTGTGCGAGCAATTCGAGTTCGATTATCTCAGTTCCAATGAGAGATCTTAAAAAGTTGTCAATTGATAAAACATTGGTGATATCATGATGAATGATTTATATGTTGAAACATTTTTTTCTCCTAGGAACCGAGACAACTGAGCTCAAAAAGCGCGTATTTGGTGGGCACCTAACAAAGCAATTACGGTATGTCTCTAGCAGATCAAATGCGGTATGCATTTTCCTAGCTGTTTTATTAGTCGTCTACTTTTATCGAATTCATCTCAGTGTCTGAAAGAGGTAACAAAAAATGTTGAACTGGTAAAATATTTTTTCATAGTTATAAACGTTTTGCCAGTATATAATTATCGATTTATTTTGCAGGAACCGAAAAGTTGCTCAAAATTTTGACTGCTATGAGACTCTTCTTCAAGAGGAAGAGTCCCTTCAGAATAAAGGTGTTTTGTTTTGCTGTAATCGTCTGCATATGATCATTGGCAGCTGGAAAATGTCATTCAGATTTTGAAAACCACTCAAAAACGCATTTAATACTCTTAAAACAACATATATTTATCACAATCGTTTTTTGCTGATTTACGGCATCATTCTCGACTTCCCAGAACACGCGACTTCTTTCATTCAAAAATAGCCATCATCTCAACTTGGACACACCTTTTTGTTTAATCAGATAAAACCAATATTATTCCAAGTAACTTAATTTATTATCCCTGGTGGCAGTTGATATGATTAGATAAGAGAATACAGTCATAAGAAACAACATTAAAAGCCACACAGTTCTCCCTTCTCGAGAACAGTCCACACCTATAATTATCCCAGTCAATGTTCCTTATCTGCCCCTCCCTACGTTTAATTATGTGGGGCGGTAGGGGGAGATGAGGGGAAAAAGGAATAGAAAAGAATTTTGCCTTATACCATTTGAAAGAAATATGAGTGTCTCTGTTGCATGCATGGATTGATAGGAATATGTCATCCCATTTTAATGAAGTCGGGTCGCTCCCTTTTCTTTTGAGAATATGGAATAAAATGTGGAACACTGAGATTGTCTTAAGTGGCCTTGGCTGCTGCTGCTTCAAACTGATCTCAGTTTTGTCTTTTTTTTTGTTTTTTTTTTGATCCTATGTTTTACATACTAAATCCTAATGTCAATTGACTTAGAAGGCAAAACAATTTCATTTTATTTATTCCACTCCTTTTTTGCATTTTTTTCTCGATAACGAAAACATTTATTGGCATTGCCGGCGTCAACGTTAAAAGTTTCAAGTTTGACATGGTAAATAAGGGAATGGAAAAGAGAAAAAATGGAAAAGCTTGTATGATTCATTCTAACTTTGACTTTCCGTTACCTTGTCGTATTTCTTGTACTACCAAAAAAAAACGTTCAAAATTTTTTTTCAAGTTTTCAATAGTTTCTCTATACCTTCTACCCTCTATATAAGCGTGCAACAAGCATCTGTAATGAATCTAAACCAATGATAAACAAAGAATTGCAGACCACATAGACCTTCCAATCGTAAACCATAAAACGGCAACATACTGCTCCGATAAACTGCCTCATCGGCTTGAATTCTTCATCTTTTTTGCCTCTACCTCTCGTTTATACAGTGTGTAAACAAGAGGCAAATAGAGAGAAAAGAAGGGAAAAACTAGAAGGAGGGGCCAGGAAAAAGAAGACGATCGAGCCGCGTGGCCCCGTCTGTCCCTCTCTCTCTCTCTAGTATTCCGCCAAAGTGATAGTAACTATCAAGCATCATTGTTTTCGCCTTCTTTTGTTTCTCCGAAACAATCAACCCATTATCGCAGTTTTATGCGTGATACGGATCCAACGACAACCGACACAGAATGGTTTTTCGAAAAGTGATGAACCCAATTCTTGTACTCTCTTTTTTGGTGGTAAGTTAATTTTTTCTTAGGAAGTTTTAATTCAAACAAATCACTAATATTCCACTTTTTAGTCTTTGTCCAATGCTGTCATTGAAGTAGACGTCTCAAATGTTTCCATCAATTTCAATAACCAAATCAACAATTATGTGAGCTGTTACGGTGTAGATATCGATTTTTATCTAGTGCTATCGACATCGAAGTAAGTTCCATAAACGATTTCTCAAAATCTTTTAATTTTCAGTTTCTCTCAAGAAAATCCTTACTATATTAGACAACAAGATGCGACGAAATACAGCATATCCGTATCAGGGACCAGCTCATTTTTGGTGAAATCTCCAACGGTATTTTTTATTTTATTTCTAACAAAACATAATCAAATGTTCAGGATTTCCTCTCTTTAACTGGAATTATACAAATGAGATGTTCCAATGGTCAAAATGCGTCTGACTCTTTTCTCATACAAACTCAAACTACTAACCAACCGGATAGAAACAATCAGAATGTTGCAATTCAAGTGACCTCAAATTCTTACCAATGGTATCTGTTCCTTTCTGTCTATTTTTCCATATGTGTCATTTTCATAGGACCCTCACCGCGACAATTAACCGAAAGTGCAATGGAGCGAACGAGTATGGATTTAATTGTAACGAACAATGCTCGACTGTTAATGACGATTATTATTGCTATACATGTGGTACAAACGGACAGAAGACGTGTTGTCCGACTTCTGATGTTAATCCAGGTAATTTAAAAGAGCCTCGATTTTCAAACATATTCGTTCCAGATGATTGTTCATATTATAATCATCCAATTTCCACGACATGGTCTCCGAATACACAATGCTCAGCGGTACTATCCTTTTTGATGTTGATCATCTGATATTATTTCCATTTTCAGTCTGCCGAAAACACTTATTTCTGGTTAATGATCTCATTTGCCATTATCATGGCAATTCTGGCCATCTTCCTTCTACTGGCGTTGCTTGAACTATGCTGTGGACTATTCACGTAAGACACATCAGAATAAAAAAAAAAGAAAAGTTTTTAGTATGCGCAAATAGATCGCGCTGCACATCTCCCAAGATTATTGATGTTTGTATTACACCAGTCTCAAAACAATCGCATATTTTTTAAGGAAGAGAACCGCTAAAGGAAGCGAGGATGGCGATTGGATAGTGTCACAAGAGCCAAAAGCAAATCGTGAGCTTTATGACGCCGACATAAATCGCCATCATCAGTATAGAAGAAGACAGGAGGAATCGAGAACGACGTCAGAACAAGACGAAAGGGATCGACGATCCCCGTATATTGTTAGTAGACAAGGAATGGAGAATCAATCTTATGATGATGTAAGGAGACACAGTTCTCATAATAAACTGAAAAATCAAATTACAGGAAGTTCTCCGAAACGAATGGCAAGAACCTCAACCGAGACGGATTGCTCGAGTGTGATCTACATTCCGTTTTTTCATTCTGTAATATTTCTTCAATCTGTCAATTGGGTATTACCATTTCTTATGCCAGTTCCATTCCTAATCCCTTCTTCGGTTCTTCTCTCCTTGATCTATCCTTTTTTATTGTTTACCTAAACAATTTACCTAAACAAGGTTTCCATCTCTTCCATTCTCGGTTACGTCTCCGTTATTTTCTCGATTCAATTCAATAACAATGTGATAAAAAGTACTGAAAATTACACTTCCTATTTTTGCCTCGTCGATTTTTAATATCGATGACTCTCACACTCTTAGTCATGGTTAAAAACCGCAACATTACAGTTTAGTGATCTTTCGATAGGAATATCGAATGAAGAAAGCTGAGCAAGAAGGCTAAACAAATCCATCAATGCATTGTCTATCCCTTTCACTCCAGAAAGGTCATACCGCCGCCATCAAGCTTAAGCGGCATCCGCCAGCAATGATTCACACGTTCAAATACGGCATTTTCGGCTGCGACGGACCGAAATACAAATACATGCGCATACAGCCCTCAAGTATTGCGTCTACACCTTATTTATGTATCACCAAGACTCCCCTTCCTCTCCTAACCCTTCCTTCTTTGATGACAACAGTATTCTTCTTCCCCTCTTTTCTTTCTTTTTCCCACCTGAAAGTAGAGTGAGGACTCAGAAGGCTGCTCGGAGTGGGCGGTCGGTTTATAGGAAAAGAAGAAGGTGAAGACACAAAACGCAAGACGTTGGTGCTGATAGTGAGACGATGGTCTTTCGCCGTATTTGTACGATAACAGCCCCACACCTCTTTTCTCCCTCTTGTCTCTCTTTAACGCCTTATTTTGCATTTCTTACTCCTTATTTTTAAGCACACCAAAACTATACACTGATTATCGATTTATTGTTTACAGTCAATATCCTCTGCTGAAATGCGCTTTGCCGCGCTTTTTGTGGTCCTTGGGTACCTGGGACACGGGGATGCACAATATCAGCAATCGTTCCAAGGGGGCCAACAAAGCGGATATCAGCAAGGAGGCTATCAGAGTGGAGGGTCACAGAGGTAAGGAACTTAAAAGTAAAAACAAGTACTGTAAGCATGCAATATTTCACTTTATTGATTGATTGAAAATTGTTCTTGTTTCAAAAAAAATTGCACTTTATAATCGACTTAAAACATGACGCCTATTCCAACATATGTTCAACTTCCCTTTTGAAAAATCAGAAGATCGCGAACTTTCGATTTTGCCAATTTTTTGAAAAACAGTTAAAAATTTAAAGCTCACCACTTTATACGTTGTCAATTTGCCACAAAAGTACTAATTCTCCCCTTCACTCCATTATTTTTCCTTCTGTTTATTCACCTTCCCAAAAAAACCCGTGACCGTCGTTTCAGCCGGTACCAGCAAAGTCATGTTGTCGTGGGACCGGGTCCAGTGATTGGTGGCGGCGGTGGCGCCAACTTTGGCGGTCAGTTCAAAGAGCAACGGACAATTAATATTCAGGAAAAGTGAGTTGTTACTCCCACGTCTATATTTTAAGTTCTTCTATCCTGGCATGCATTTTGCCCATTCTGTTAGAAAGGTCGTGCATGAGTCATTTTTCTTTAAACTTTCTAAAAAAAACGGAAATGAATAATTGCACCTGCACCATTGTTCCAGCATCCAAGGCGTTCAACAAGGTGGTGGTTACGGTTACGGTGCTAGTGGTGGGTACCAATCTCAGTACGGTTCCAGATATGGATATGGACAGCAGGGACAACAGAATGGATTTGGGGGAGTAAGTGACGAATACAATTATCGGAATAAGTTGAACTTGTTTCAGCAAATGGGAGCTCCTGGAAGAACAGTATTCTCTAATAATCCTATGAATCTGGATACGGGAAACGGACTAATGGGCGCTGAAGTGGATCTCCGACTCATTTCCTATTCGAACTCTGGCCTGAAACTTCCAAACGGAACAACTTGTAATTGTCCGATTTCGAACTGCAATTATGTTCCGAGCAATCATCAAAATCAATGCCAATTCAGTTTTGTGCTTGTTATCTCTTGCGCAGAGTAAGTTTGAAACTTCATTCGATACCATCATGTACCTGTGTTAAACTTTTGACGAATTGGATACACACAGCTTTGTTGCCAACTGGGTCACTGATAATGGGGTAACCATTAAGAAGAGAAATGGTGATAAGAAGGTTTTGTACGTGTTGTTAAGCAGGTGGTATGCGGGCGTATGTACGGAGTGTATTTGTATTTGCATATTGATTGTGGAGGGAGAAAAGAGCAGGTGACTAAGAGCTGATTGTGAATCATCAAATAGTGAAAATAAGACCTGAAAGTTAAGAGATGTAATAAGGGGTTATGAATTTCCAGCCAATCCATCCAATACACCCAATCGAATTTCTACCCAGTACCCAATAATGGAATCATGACAACCGGAAACTGGACCGACCAGCACACTTTCTACATGACAACTAAGCCGGTAACCGTCTGAACTTTTTAGATAGGATAATGATAGGTCTTCTGCAGGTATCCATTGACGTATTCGTTCAACATTTGGGTGTAGTGATTGACTCGTCCTCTGGTCAACTGCTTTTCTTCAACCATCTTGCTTTGGTCGACTCATTTGTTGTTGATCTATCAAAATTCAGCACAAGCACCGGTAATGCCCAAGGATCTCAAACTTTGACATTAGTTGGAACAACTATGTCTACCCAGTGGGTATAATGATGGGTCTCTCACACTGAAATGCATATTTTCAGACTTCAAATGAACTTGAACGTCCAATGCATCAACAACTTCATGGGACCACTCTGCGACTTGACCTGCAACAGCACTAACGCTCAAGCCGGTCAATTAGTCGCTTGCTATAGCAACCGTACCGACACATTCTCACTGTGCAAATGGAATACGCAAAGAACTCAGGTCAGAAACTAACGAGTAATCCCATTTCGTTTCAAAATCTTCGAACCCTTTTTTGTTTCGAAACCGACACATCATACGATAGCCATCTTTTTGTTTCTAGGTCGTCGAATGCAAAGTGTGCACTTATGGAGTTTACAACGGGGCCTGCTCAGCGGCAGTGAATGTCAATAACGTGGTAATCCTTGACGGCTTCTTTTTGTTTCGAGTTCTTTCTAGAAACACTCCCACAAAAAGTATTTTCTTTTTAGGGCGTGGCCTATGCTTTCCGAACGTGGACCATTGTTCTGGGTTGCCTTCTTGGTATCGCTCTTCTCCTCATTCTGTGCCTCATTTTGGCCTATCTTATGTAAGCTATTTTATTTCTGACTATTCACTTTTCGATTGCAATGCATCTTTTTAGTTGCTTCAGAATTTTGAACCGTTCCTATGAGAAGGAGGGACGTGAGGATCATTACAAGTATGAGGAAAATACTACAAGAATTGAGACAAATGATGATAAGAAGTAAGTTTAGTTCATATTCCTCGAATTAAAAAGATAACCACGTTTCAGGAGTAATAACCGAAAATCGTCAACACAATTCGATCATGGATCAAACGAACCCCTGATCACAAATGAAGAATGGACAAGTACAATTGTTCGCAAGCAACCAGTTGGAATTCTTTCAAAACGAAACGAAGACCATGCTCAGGAACAAGTGCACAATCATCAGATTCAGAACCAGAATCGCCAGACTTCGACTCATCAACAAAACGGTGGGAATGTTCATAGAAACGGATCAGCTGATTATGGACAGAGACAGATAGATTCTCCAAGTACCGAGGTGCCTTTGATTTTTGAATTGCATGCGATTTTGAATATCTTAGAGTATTCAGTTTTTCACAAAATGCGTGAGACCGTTTAAAGTTCAATGACTTTGACTCTTTTGTTTACTAACAATTGTATCTTTTTTAGTGATTTCTTTTTCCAGGATAGCTACACTGCAAACGGACAAGTCCAGCACACAACCACTACCACAACAACGACAACTCGCCGAGAGCATATTGTTTGAACAACTGGCACAATCTCTATTCTCTCCTTGGCTTCCTTCAACTCTAATCAAAACATCCCCTCCCTCTCTTCACTTTTCTCGGAATTTCTCGAAACTCCTTACCTTCAACTATGTCTCTATTTTTTCTGCTATAGTAAATGAACTTCGCTACATGACCCTAATTTCATTGTTCTTTCCTCAGTTACTTATCATACTTGCCACCAAACAAAAATGTGGCTCATTGCCGTGTGTCGCCTTTATACCCAAAGCCTTTTGAAGAATTATTTTCTCTGAAACCAAAATTTTCACTCGCCATCCCCAAATAGGTCTCCTTGTGTCTTTAACCAACTTCTCTGACTTTAAATTTCATTTTTACTACGCTTCTGATGATTTTCAGTTATACTTAATTATTGTATTTATCTTAACATTTTCCAAATTATTCTCCTACAAAACTTCCGCTTGTTCAAACAGAAATAAAAACGAAAGCAAAAATAAAACTTTTTCCCATTTTCTCTGATAGTGCAAAAGTGTCGATTATCACCTGAAAAGCGTATACACTTGTTGATTGTGTAGTACAGCGGCTGGCGGCGGCGTCCACCTCGCTCACTCAACTATTTGCATTTTTCTCGATTCAGTCGGTGCGTCGATAAAAAGAATATTTATTCACCGCAGCACCGGCCATTGATACTCTCTTCTTAAGAATTTTTCAACCCTTCTGCCATCCATGAGGTGGGTTCCAGCACACTCACACATGCTTTAAATGTGATAGTTATCAGTGATTCAGCTTCATATTTTGCCACATTTTCTTCCTCTTGTACCCTTTTTACCTCCTACTGGCTCGTTTCGGAAGTTTCGTTATCTTGCTTCTCACTACTTCCCCTATATTTGTGTTGCAATCCCCTTTTTGCTTTTTCAGTAGGAGATGAATAAGGAAAAAGAAGAGTTTGATTTGATTGATAGATCATTCGATGCCTCAACAGTCGGAACGCCTAACAGTAAAATTCGGTTTCGATACACTGACAAAAAAGAATTCTGGCTTTCAAACGCAGGATCCAGGTAGGGATGTTGCGAAATGTAGAGTTTTATATTTCGAAATTTTACAGAGCTTATGTTTTTCGACTTTTCACTTGCTTCTATGCCATTTTTATCGTTATAGCAGGAATAGTCATAGAACTGTCGAATATCATTGCAACAACAGAAAACACAGACAAAATTAGTATCAAAGATTTGGTAAGATAATTTTATATATTCTTGTGCTCCAATTATCTATATTTTTAGGTCCTCGGAACATGGCTCCTGGGAGGTTCTATTCTTTTTATCGCCTACTGTTCATATTTAGTTCACGATATGCATTTCACGATTAAACGCCGCCGTCAAAATTTCCGCAATAGTACGATGAGTGATGGCGTTGAACCAGAAGTGCTTGCAAACACTTCAACCGGAAGTCTATATTTACGTCTAGGATGTGTTGGTAAGCTTATGAAATTCGAAACCTACTTTGAAAAATAATTTTTAGTTTTTGGAATCATTGGTGTGGTTTATTATCTACTTATCTTTGTCATATGCTTGTTGGGTTGGAGCTCGAATGAGGGAGAGTGTAGTGCGATGTAAGTAAAATATACCGTAAAACCTGTATTAGAAGGGCCGGCCCTTTTTTTTTTCGTGGGGTCCCTAAGGGGGAACTTTAATTAGAGTGGCCCTCCAATTAGAGGGGGCACTTGTATTTTCCGTGGGTCTTCTGACAACGTATCTTCTATTGGAGAAGCATCATTTTTAAGCAAAAATTTAGTTTTTCTACCAAAAATCCATTACAATTCCTACATAATTTACGCGAAAACCCCAACATTGTTGAATTTAAAAAAACTGGCACCTGAAAATTTCGCGGGCGCCGTTCGTGTCGATTTACGAGGCCTCGTCCTTGAATCCGCCATTGTACCAAAAGAAATTAACTTCTTTGAATTTGGGTGTTATTCTGATTAAAATTCAGGTTTCTTGGTAACATTTCGATCGCTGGAATTTCTAGAACTTTTAAAATTGAAAACTCCAAGCTTGATTGCGAAAATTGCTCGAACGAGAAAAACATCTGCATTAGAGCAACAGCATTCAAATTCTCAGGTCTCAGTATTTTTCAAAATCAGACTGTAATTCAATCAAAACAACGGAAAAAAACGGCTGAAAATCAAAGGAGGTAGTCAAGGGGGTACTTCAAATAGAGTGGTCCCTCAAATAGAGGGAGCACTTCTATTTTTCGTGAGGTCTTTAGAGGGGCACTTCAATTAGAGGGGCCCTTCAATTTCCTTCAATTTCAATTTCATTTTATTAGAAGATACAGGTTTTACGGTAAACTGGATTTAAGAGAAATGTCAACATAATTATAGATCAGATATTCTGAATATGATGGCAGCTGTATTTATTTTTGTACAAATGTGGTTCGTTTATTGCAATGGAAAAGTGAGATTTGTCCGTTTGCTGTATATTTCCTAGTTGGTATTTTAGATCATTTTCACCGGTGATGGTAACTTGGCAAGATTTGGACTAATGCATTTGACAGGAACCAATCTTTGGATGTGGTTGCGATATATTTTGTATGAAGAAGTCGAAACTATCAAAGAAATCAGACATGCTCAGCATAAGAACGATTCTCAAGGTAAGTTGGCTGAATCTGGATTATTCATTTCTATTATTTAAGATTTTCTGAACTGAGTTTGAAAAATTCTGTAAAAAAGGTAAAGATGTCATATTTTTTTGTTTTTGGCAAAAACCCATTTTTTCCATGAAATAAACAAGTGTATAAACACACAGGTATAATATACCCGTTTCTTGAATTTTGAGCTCAATTATCATTGTTTTTGTAAACGATATCGAAAAGTTGTCAACTAATAAAATCTTCAAAATAACTTCATAAACATTTTCATAGCTTGCAGCTTTTGATATCTTTTACAGAAATCGAGATAATTCAGCTCAAAAATATTGTATAAAGTGGCGTTTTATTCATTCACAGTATTTGCGGAGTCTTGCAAATCTACAAAGCATCCAGTTTCTTGGACAGTATCCTTCAATCAAAATTTTATTCAGGTCTTGCACATGGACATTATCACGAAGAGCTTGAAGAGATATGCAAAGGAGTTTTGTGTGTCTTTACTGGATACAACGAATTCATGTACACCTGCGTGGTAGAGTACTCATTGATCTGTGCAGGTGTCGCTTTCGTATTCTGGACCAATTTGGAACGACTGAAGAGAGGACAGGTACAAAACTATTGAAACGTATCAAAAATATAGACTTGATTCCAGATGGAGAACAGAATGAAAAAACGAAGTATTCTCAAGATTGACTGCTCAAGAACTGCGGAGGGGCTTTTTGCTGGATTTGCTTGCATCATTATCACAATCATCGCCATTGCTCTTTTCAACGCGTACTCAACGGATAAAAATGTAGCTCAATGGGTAAGTAGAAATCTTCGAAATTCGGAAGCTCATGCTATTTTTCAGATATTTTCTTGTACTAACATGATTTTCTTCCTCATCTCCACTTTCTTGGTGCTCTTCGCGTTTTGGAGAATGAAGTACCTGAAGTTTCTTATGGAAGATGATGACGCGGAAGACGACAATGCAGAATTGCTCGATAGAATTCTTCTTGTAGTAGGACTGATGGGAGAGCTCACATTCTCCATTGGTGGAATTCTCTCCTTTGTAAACAACATTTCTGTCGGACTTCCACTTATTATTTTCATCACGAATGTGTTGAGACTGGTTAGTTTTCTGATTGATTTTTTAAATTAGAATTTGTTATTCAGATCCAAGTAACATTCCAAAGTGGTCTCTTGATGGTTGCTTCTCGTCTAAGGCTCGAAGAAGGTGACCAGCATATGCTTAGGTATAAACCGGGGAAACAAGTAAGACGAATACTTTTAGAAAGTTATCTTTGAAACGGTTAATTGTTCAGGTCATCACAATGTTGTTGATGATGAATTGCGCACAATTTCTGATGAATGTTTTTGAAGCTCAAAAAGCTGGAATCAACGACGAGATGATCAGTATGTACGGATCGTACTACTGGGCAATCATTGTTCGTGGTTGTTCACCGTTAACCATTTTCTATAGGTAAGTTTTCTGAAAACATTTGCGAAACTTTTTTCATTAAAAAAACAAGTGCAAATTATTATGTTACTTCTGGTACACGAGAAACAGTGAAATCTAAAAAATAAGAGAAGTTTTCAGGTTTCACAGCTCCGCCTGCTTCGCCGAGGTCTGGAAGAAGACTTTCCGACCGCCGAAGAAACCGAAAGAGAACGAGGAGGAGCGAACCCAGTTATAACTATTACGAGATGAGAAATGAATTGATACAATTGAATAAAAAAGTGAAAAAGAAATGGAATTTCTAGAAATGAGAGAAGAAAGTGTTAACAGCCGGAATTTTGAACAAAACAGAAATGATTATGCTCAATTGTCGGGGCAATTGGGATAGAGAAAAAAAAGTAACAGGATAGAGACAGATAATATATGTTCGGGTTGGAAGGCATTCTAACGAAACCGGATGAAGAAAAAAACACAATTTGTCAATCTGTGGTTCATAGTTCGGGGTTTCTTTGAGTGATGAGTGGTTCAGAAACAAATCTACACCGACCATGTTGACTGAATTGAAGAAACTAAAAGAATTGATGGGTGAGGATTAGTTTTTAGGATTACGAAACAGTTCCATGATCCGCAAAAATAAATTAACGAAAAACCCTTTTGGAAACTGAGAAGAGGGGAAGAAAGAGAACAAACAAAACCGAATGAACAAAAAACACTAAATATAGGAATGAAGCAAAATAAAAATTGGCGGCAGGGGAATGAATGATACCCGCGAAATGGGGGAAATCATGTTTAGAAGGTTCTACTCGCTTTCATCGATTTTGGAGATTTCGTCATCCTCGAATGTGGCCCTCTTCTTTGGGATGGCGGCTGGCGATTCCTCACGGATAGCCTCCTCCGGGTTGATGACAAACTGCTTGGTTCCACTGGTGATGGTCCGGGAGACTGCAAAACAGAGGGGTTGTGGGAGTTAATCAGTATACTTTGTGTTAAAAATGTGTTATTCTCCTATCAGAAGACAGTTTCGGAACATTTCAATTTTCAAATAATCGGAATTTCGGTATACTCCGATTTTCAAAACTTCGGAACTTTAGAATTTTTAGATTTTCAAAATTTTGGAATTCCGGGATTTTCTAGTTTCCAAATTTAGGAATTTCGTAATATTTTGATTTTCGGAACTTCAGAGTTTTGGAATTTTTAGAATTTCAAAATTTAGGAATTTCGGAATATTTCTATTTTGGAAATATTGAAGTTTTGGAATATCTCGATTTTCGAAACTGTGGAATTTTAAAAATTTTATATTTTCAAATATTAGGAGATTTGGAATTCCGGAACATTTCGATATTCAAAAAATCGGAATTCCGAATTATTCCCATTTTCAAAATTTCGGTATTTTGGAATTTTTTATTTTAAAATGTTCGGAATTTCAAAAATTTTCAAATTTTCAAACAATTGAATTTGTGAGATGGCCGATTGAATCGATCAGAAATCATGAGAGATTAGGATTTTCCAAATACCGTATCCGCACATTCTCAGACATTAAGCACCGTTCTGCGTCCCATACACCCTGTTACCCAAAACATCCCACATAGTTATTAACTCAGTATTAACTCAAACCCCGACTTTCCAACTCACGTTTTTTGGCGATTGGCTCTTTCTGGTTCAAATTCTTCAACTCGACGCTGTCGGCTCCACTCATCGAGTTGTGACGGCGGTTGTAGCTGCGAGCTCTCTCAAGGTCTCCAGGGTTGCTGATGGTGTTCTGGTTGTGGTACAGTTCTGGAAGTTTCCCCATTTTCATCTTTCTCAAATCATAATATACTCACGATTTGGATCAAAAGTTGGACGCTTGGATCCGCTGACTGGGCAAGTCAAGTAGTTATCAGCTGTCTCGTTTGGCAAGGCATAGATGAAATGGCGAGAGTAGCGAGTAACAGCACGATGTGGAGTACGTCTTCCGGTGGAGCGTTGGTCACGGTCATCATCGATGCTTGAGAAGTCAACGAATGGAGCAATAGTTGGACGGCCGATAGATGGGGCAGGAGTGTGGGAGACTTCTCCGTGACGAGTACTGGAAATTAGAAAAGTGAATCTTGAAACGAGACTATTTTGAACATACAGATCAGTGTGACTGCGTTCACCAATACGAAGAGCAGTGCTGACAGCCTTTGGAAGTCCAAGTGTGCGGAATGTCTCATCGGTTGGAAGGTCTGTAAATTGAAAATTCATTCTAATAATAATTAGATTGGACTCTAACAGGTATTCTCGGAAGTGAGCCATTTCTTGATGTACTTGTCGTTGAATTCATAGAACCATTTAAGAGCCTTCGTGTCTTTCTGCTTCAGCCCATCATCTCCAGGAATCTTGAGGCACTTCATGACGAATTTGATGGTGCAACCCTGAAAGTTTCAAATTTGTTAAGCGTCAGACCGAGTTTACTGGTTACTTGGAGGATGGAAGTGATGAAAATCATAGCGAGAGTGGTAGTGACAAAGTATGGCTTGGCTGGGATGATTCTCTCATCGATAATTTGGACAAGACCGAAACAAACAGCTCCACGGATACCGGCGTGAGTGACAACTAGTTGATCGGCAAATGGGATTCGAGTTTCCTTGGAAGCGAACATGTTGTAGAAGGCTGACAAAGCACAAGTCACTGAAAAATAGATTATGTGTGTGATATTCATATTTTCAAGGAGTTACCAATAAAGCGGTACAGGGTGCAGCACAAAACAGTCACTCCAATAAAGAAGTAGTCGAACTCGTGGTTGTAAGAGACAAGAGAGACTCCCAGATAGAAGAAAATGCACGATTCGGAGAGAGAAGAGCCAGTCTTTGAGAAGGTGAATGCAGCAAACTCCATCTCGACACACATGTTGGCAGCCATGTAGTAAGACATAATTGCAGCACAAACAATTGAAGCCAGGATTCCAGAGTAGTGACCAGTTTCAGCCAACAAGTAGGCAAGGTATGGACAGAAGAGTTGGAAGATTGGCTGATTCATCTGATGCCCGACCATATTCTTCATGATGAAGACTCCAAGGAATCCTACGAACATTCCACACAGGATACCTGCTCCACAAACAATGAAGAACTGGAAGAGACAGCTTCCAACGACCGCGAGAATAGTCAGGGATTCGTCGGTGGCGTCCGATGTCTTGATGACGTTGATCGAGGTACGATAGAGGACGATAGTAACAGCGTCATTGCACAAAGATTCTCCGAATACCAGAATAAAAAGACTCTTCTTGACGTCGAGCTCAGCGAAAGTGCTCAAAACGGATACCGGATCAACAGCACTGATCAAAGTGGCAAAGACAAAGAGATGCAAGAATCCTGGTTTGAACTCGAACACTCCTTCGATAGCCCACATGGTGAAAGCCAATAGGAGAGCGGTGACAACGGTTCCAACAACGGCAAAGAGGAGAATCTTGGGAAGGGCGAAAAAGAATTCCTTCTTCTGCATAGAAAGTCCAGCGTCATTGACAATAGCCGGGAGGAGAACCATGAAGAACATAAAGGTGTTCAATTGTCCTGGATCGATTTTGAGTCCGAACTTGACAGCAGAAGCCATGAAGACGCCATACATCATAAGGACGACGGATTCCGGGAGCTTGCGAAGGACTGGCCAGTGGAGAGCTGAAAGATTGAAAAATAATGAAAGGGATGAATAAACCAATGAATATATACATCCAGAATACATATACAATAAAAACCCTAATAGAATGATATTCCAGAAAGCCAGTTTTGAGCTCATATATTCCGGTTACTGTAAAAGATATCAAAAAAATAGTTAACTGATAAAACATTTTTGTAACTATGATAAATATTTTGTCAGTTGACGCCTTCCTGACATCTTTCACAGTAGCCGTGATATATTAGCTCAAATTTGAAAGTTAGGAGAAATACTGTTAGAGTTTTTACGGTCATACTCTCAATTACAAACCCTGTTTCCAACATCTTTGAACAAAAAATTGACAAAAACTCACTCGGCTTGGCAATAGTAACCAAAAGGATCAAGAAAACAATGGCGAGTGGTTGATAGGTGTGCTGGAAATCCACGTGGACGGGGTCGAGGAGATGTTTGGCCTCCTCAATTTCTTCTGGAGGCGCATCATGCACCCATTCGCCTTCGGCTTCCATTCTGAAAAAGAGCCATTTGAATAATGAAAGTCTTTACAGAGAAATCTGTGAGCTAGAAAGTATATATCAGTATTTGAAAACTTAGGAGTAACGGAATTCAAATAACTAATTTGGTAAATAATTCAGAGAGTATAACCCTTGAAATTCTACTTTTCTTCCTAGTTTTACTACCGTTATTTCTTTAACAGAAGCCTACCCAAACCGTTGAATTTAGGCTCCATTATCTCGATGCCTGTAATAAGGACCAAACATTTGTCAACTGATAGAATATTAATGCTTTTATCAAAAGTTATTTATCAGTTGACAAATGTTTAATATCTTTACAGGAATCAAGATAATCGAGCTCAAAATTAATTACTTGGGTGTGCTGCAAAATTAGAGAAAGACGGTAAATCGCATTTTCAGTATTAAACGCTTGAAATTCGCCATCCTAGTTCTACTAATATAACAATTCTTGAAATTTCACATATTTTTGTTATCTAATGCCACCTTAACGATGTTATTCATCAAACTGAATTTCTAAGAATCTAAGATATCTAAGGAACAGGAAATATAATAGGAAATATAAATTTTTGACTAGATCCTCCTCCCACACCCCAGTGATACACAAGTTATAACATCAGTGGAAAAACAACTAAAATTGCGAAAAGTCGCTAAAATGAGCGAGATTCAGAGTTGGGACACGGAAGAATGGGGGGGGGAAAACAAGACTTCTGTCCGGAAAAAGCAAAAAAAAAAAACTCAATTTTTTCTTTTCAATACTGGTCACTATATTAAAAGTGAGAAGCCGAGAGAGGAAATATAAAAAAAGGAACGGAAGAAGAAAATCCAAACTTTTTGCAGTAAACAAAAAAGTCATGAAGTTCTTTTTTTTCTATTTTGAAAATTTTTCATCATCGAAGAAAGGAGAGAAAAATTTGAAAAATAAGGGGAAAATGCTGAGAAGACGTCTAATTTTTGGTGAGAGCACCTTCTCTGGTGCTCTAGTGAGAAAATAAAACACATGAGGAGCTCTCATGATGTTGCGTTAGTTTCAACAGGAAATTACGAGCGATTTATCTTGAGACATCGATCATCTTATACTCAAGTTGCCAGAAAAATGTTTTATTTTTGTTTTTTGTTCTATTTGCATGTAACAGATTTTATTTGGCTACAAACAAACACCGTCTAAACAAATCTCAAGTTTCACTATTGTTCTTTTTTCGCTTCATTTCTATATTTTCCTACACATTGTTTCCGGGGGCGAGTCTCCCTGGGTCACACGGAATAAAGAAGAAATCAATTGATTCAGTGGTTTAGCGCCTTATTCTCAAACAATTCACGACCACAAAAACTGAGATCCGTGCCAGAATTTTTAAAATATGTATACTTTCAAAATTCTTGTTCAAAAGTTCGATGTGTTCACTAGCTCAGAAGAAAATTGAAGCGAATTAATGAATTCAAGCAAAAAAATGGCTGTGGACAAGAAGCTAGAGTTAGGGAGAAAGCGTAAGGTGAGTGTCCCTTTTTTTCTCTGTTCACATGTTTTTCATGTGGTCAGAGCTTTGTTTGTGACCCTTTTTTTCTCGACTCGTTTTTTTGTCTAAAAATGAGAACGAAAGAAGGAAGAAGATATCCAGATGGAGATTACAAAAAGAACATATTTAATTGTTTTCCGGTCGGTTACCGAAAATTGCTCTAATGTACTTTCTTTCTGAGATTCTGAATGTTGAAATCTGTTTCACAAAAATTCCAAAAAGAAGTAGGCTCAAAAGTGTATGTATACTTCGAAAATGAAAAATTATAAATACTTGAAAAATAATGATTTGCGAAAACTCAAAAACGAGAGAATTTCTCAGAAGAGAGGGAAGACATCTGAATATTCTCACAATTCTGTCATTTGAATTCAGAATACGAAAAATAGTGAGAATTGTACTTCTAACTGAATAACATCTTAGTCAATCTAACAGGAAAAACAGAATTTCTCAAATTCAGGTGGAACAAAACGAGATGACAAGAATTTTTCGCGCTCTTCCCTGGGTGCGCGAATGTTGCATAAACGCAATATATATTTGGAAGACACGCCTCGGGGGTCAGAAGAAGACTAAAGGTGGCCCGGACCGGGTGTGTAATGGTGTCTGGGGGTGCGCGACGGGTGGTGATGGTGGTACGCTGTCACTGAGTGCTTCTTAGCAGCAGCAGCTGCATTGTACGAGAAGACACAAAGGTCGCATCTTGATGATGCGCACAAACATATGTCTGACTGACCCTTCATCAGTTTCGAAAGTGTCGTTGTTGTTGTTGTTTTCCAACTTCTGAGCAGCGATGTTAGAAATGTTCTCCTGGCTTGGTAGATAGTTGATCAATTTCTCAGCGATATCTTCGGCAACTGAAAATTCTATGATTTCATATTTTCTCATGAGATGCTTGAGAGCGCAAGTCACACTTTCTGTGCTTTTTCCAAAAATCAGTCTCCGTAAAAACTTCTGAATGTTTGATCTTGAAGGTAGCAACAGCTACTATGTAACAAAACAAAGAAGGGAAACAAAAAAAAAGAAAAAAATAGTTTGCAGAAGTGGAGGAAATGTATTCATGTGTCACACAAGTACTCAGAAATTACATTATACTAGGATTCCTCTAGGTTTAAAGGGCGCTGGATGTTTGATGTTGCAAAAAAGGGGTAAACTTACGAGTTCCGTTTTTTCCTGCAGCCAAGGGAACCGAGAAGATGAATTGGACGACCACCAAGATGATCAGCGATGCTTTGATGGAAACTGAAATATTGAATTCGTTCGGTTGATGATGGTTTTTTTCTCAAATTTTATGTTAATTTTTTTGTTCAAAAATTTTGGAAAAAAATCGCAGTTAAATTTCAAAAAAAAAGTTGATTAATTGTTTTTTTGGATTCAAAAAAAAATGATTCGAATTTTTTGAAAACTTTCAGATTTTTTGAAATTTTTTAGAGTTTTCTAAAATTTTCAGATTTTTTCAAATTTTCAGATTTTTTGAAAATTTTCAAAAGGAAACGAAAAAGGTTTACAATAGAAATCATATTTTTAAGCTCATAAGTTATTTTCACCAATCCTTTTTCTCCAAAAACCCCAGTATTTTCTGAATCCCAAATATCTAAACTTACGCATTCTGGATGGATTGTTTCGGACCATGTGGCCCTGCAGTAGTAGTGAGTCAGTTGGTAGAAGTTTGAGGTTTGCTTCCGCAACCCGGCAACTCTAGAAAATATGGTCATAAGGCGAACAATTTTCTCAAAGTGGAAAAATATCGGGTTTCCCGGACGAGGATTGATTTTCCAAAATAAACATTTTTTGGGGTCTCATTGAGAACCAATGAGATGACAAATTGCAGGATGAAAAAGTGCGAGAGGTAAGTGTTTAAGAGAAAAATAAGGAAGAGGGAGATAAATGAATGAAGACATATTAGGAATAAAAAAAATGAAAGAAGAGAAGAAGAAGGAGATGGTAGAATAACGATGACGACGTGTTGGTCTTGGTGGTTTGGATTATGTAAATAAGAAAAAGAAATAATTCGGTGCCCCCATCCTTTCCACTTTACACGGACAATTAAAATCTACAGGGCTGAGGACAGATGAGAGGAACAGACAGAATGTGATTTTTCGAAAAAAAAATTTCTGCGATGACAATATCTAACCAGATTCTGAAATATTCAAAGAAAGAAAAAAATGAGGAAACCTGTGAAAGAGTAAGACACGGAAATATATGAGGAAGGACTGTATGTATGTCTAAATCTCTTCAAATTTTCAAAAACAAAACAATACGGAACAAGAGTCATGGGAACCAAGGCGCAGATATTATCGAGGTTTCCATATATACATATGTTCCCAAGATTTTTTTGAGAAATGAGGACAGAGAGAAGACGACGTAAGTTTCGAAACATATCGTAAATGAGAAGGAGACTCAAGTGTCTAGACCTTTCGGGACAAGTTGAAAAATGACCCAAGTGTGTCTGTTCTAAACAGAAACAGGCTAAAAGGGCAGAATTCCGGTTTATCTTAGAATTACGGTATTAGTCTCAATTGAGGTTTCAACAAGAAATTGTATCTCAGCACACTTCGTTTATTCTCAAGCTCTGCCCTCCTATTTTACCTAGTTAAATAGATTTCTAAATATAGAAAATTCGAAAGTCTAAAAAAGAATCGACCCAAAAATGACCTGTTTCGATCATAGTTCTTTTCTATTGTTCGAGATGAATATCGTTTATTTCTGATGTAATGTTTTCTGGAAATGCATACGTCAAGAAACCAAGAAAAGCAAAAAACACACATACAAGAACAGATCACTTTCTTGGGATGTAAAACATGGGAGGCCAGTAGAAAAATACAGAGAAGACACACCTGATACAAAGAGCTTGTCCTGACCAAACATGTGAAATCAAACCGCTTAATGCGGAGGCGACAGAAGCAACAAAAAACAAAGCAGAACAGAGGCAGCGACTCTTCGTCAATAATGAGACCAGAACTAATTGTTCTAACAGTGGGACTGCAGAGGCTGACGATGGCTGATTTCATGAGAGAATACAAAACTTCTGGAATAGAAAATAAACACGCCTATGGTTGAGAAATTGCTAGAAACATGGATGTTGTAGCAACCGTGAACGTAGTAGAAGGTCATGAGGCTGTGACAAAGAGGTAATTGCTAACAAAACATACGAAAATTGTTACGAAAATTGTTCGCAGGTTTCCGGAGACTAGTCGAGTTTCGTCGAAAAATTCTTAACTCAATTTCAAAATTCATAGTATCTTTCATCATTCAAAAAGTGTTCACCCTCTTCCAAAAATTTATGTCTTACTGTAGATGGGAAAAAAACTGAAAAGTCGTGAAGGAATATTGGGAGAATCTCATAAACTCTCACTTTCTCATCTTTGTAAACTAATCCGGTTTCCTTTCCAAAATTTTTTTACGAGTTCTGTAAGATGATTCATAATTTTTCATACTCAAACTACAGAATTTTCAGGTAAACATCACACGGATCTTACACAAATCAGAGATTCAAAATCAAAAGAACAATGGATGTCTGACTGCGTATGAATTAACCGGAAGCTTGATATATTAAAAACAATAATACCCATAGATTCGTAGTTATTTCTTTTGTATTCTTATCGGAAATGACACAAAACACATTTCGTGTACTCGGAGCATGAGATGAATTGACTCAAGTATCAGAAACCAGAAGATATTTGTAAAATTCAAAGATTTATGAGTTACAAGCTCACATAAAATGGAGTCATATCATTTTGAAAAAGCTAACATTGAAATAGATTTTTGAAGCGTCCAAAACTTTTAAACTTTTCAAAAGTCCGATTCTGAATTTCATGTTGTAACGCGATCAATCACAATCTATGCTCTTGGTTACAGTAATCTCATTATAATCACGTAGACGCTCTAATTTTGAAGGCACCAGACAAAATATTGCTCAGTGTCTTGAACGAAACTGTTCTTCCCGTAGTCCTTCACTTGTCTAATTTACCAGAAAAAACTAAATTTTTTTCAATCATTTTGGAATACGCTCAGTTTCAATACGCTCAGTTTCATTACAAAAAACCCCATTTTCAATTCAAAACAGATTTTTTCAAGACGACTTTCTCAACTTCTAGGGCATTTCAGAACATGTCATTAGTTTTGTTAAACTTTGGATTCAAAGAAATTGTAATTCTCAAAAAAATGTAATTTCATGTTCTGAAACGTGCTAGAAATTGGATAAACCGTTTCCGAAAGTCGCTGCTTTGAAAATTCGATTTTCAGTACCAAAACTGACATGACTCTGCTGAGTGTCTAGATAGGCTGTTCTTGACCATGAAATGTTCATCAAAATCTGGGTTCTGTCCTAAAACTTCATGACCTCAAGCAAATTTTCTCGTTGAGTTCCGGTCGATAAATTGCTTTGAAAAACTTTACAGCCAAAAAAATTAGGAGGCAGTTTTGTTTTGGGTCCCCCCCTTGGTAACCTTCCCACGTAAGTCAATTTGAGGTAGAACATCTACGCTCCATCTATTCTTCCCAGCGTGGTCTAAGACTTCCTTTTCGGTGAGTCGAAAATTGCCTACCGCCGATTGCCATTTCAGCCGAACGACAGCCGACCGAGCTGACCGATCGGTCGGCGCGCCTTCCGAATTAGTGCATTTGCGCGTCTAAATACTAATTTTTGCGTGCACACTTTTACTAGTTTGTAGTGAAATAAAATGTTGCGTTCGTAAACACTCTCTTCCATTTTGACGCGCAAATACACGAATTCGGGAAGCTCGGTTGGTTGTGGGTCGGCTGGATCGGCGATCGGTCAGCCGGCTAAACTGCCCAAATGGAAGCCTTAGTGTAGTCTACAAGGTGCAACTGTGGGTGTATGTCGTAGTGGGTGAGGTCACGGTGGCATTCAAATTCTCATCAAAAAGCTCAAAAATGAACATACTGACACCGGCACCAACACACGCCTCTAGCGTTGCCTATGATGATATGTACGAGTATGATAGTACTGACTGGTGATGCTCGGAACAGATATCTGTATTTCGAAAATTCCTAAGCTTTTTTTGGAATTATAGCTTTTTGGACTACGGTATTTGGAAGGCGAAAATATTTTCCTTGCGGGTCGCGAACAGACGTATATCTAACTGTCAAACTCGAAATTTTCTACATTTCGGAAAATTCCGACTAGGAACTTCTAAGCATCCCAATCTTGACTAATCTCCCTCTCTTCAAGTTCATAATTCTAAAACAGAGCAAACTTATCTGGATAGATGTTCCACCCTGTATTCAGCTTCCGAAGTCATCATCGCTGCGAGTAGCAAAAAGAAAGTAGAAGAAGTGGAAAAGAGAAAAAAGTCTCTGTGGGGAGAAGAAGGTAAGTCGAATGACTGAGTCGTCTCCAAAGTCTGACCTAGACCCCGCCCATATGTTGTTTCACCACATCCGATAGTCTAGACTCCACCCAGATCGCTCTTCGAGCTTTGGTGTTACATCCATATGTGAAGTTGAGAGACACAGAGAAATATAGACAATTTGAAAAATTTTGTCAAAAACAAGGTGGATACTGTAGAAAGTTTTTTGGAAATTTTTGATACAATTTGATGACTAAAATGGATTGGGTGTCAAATAGTTTCATCTGTTCATTACAACAGAAAAAGTTTGATCAGATACCAGATAGAACAATAAGCAGTAGCGGTGAAATGTGATATCTAGATATCAAAACCTTTTAGCTTTCTTAATAACTGTGACAAAAAAAACAGCATTTTATTTCTGCAGTTGACAACTTGTTTATGAAAATTCATCCAAAAGAAACCATAAAAGCACGAAAACTTCAAGAAATATTAGTGAGTTCTGAATCGTGATACTTTTAAAGTTCATCTCATTTGGATGAATAGGTACCAAAAATTGTCAACTACTAATCTGAAGATCTATTCTTTCTGGTAGACCTGAACATCTTGGTGCCATTATTAACTTTAAAACTTTAAAAACTTTAAATTTAACAAAGTCTACGAACGTCTTGGTGCCATTATTAACTTTAAAACTTTAAAAACTTTATATTTAACAAAAATTTTTCAACCATCCAGTTGACCATTTTCCATTTAATTAGGTGAAATTGTTGAAGTTCTGGTTTTTACTAAATCTCTTGCACGTCTGTGAGTTGTTTTTACAGCTATGCTTTTTTAGTCAGTAATCAAAAGTCAACGGACCTGCTAAACCGAAAGCGATTTTTTAGACCTATGTGCTTCTCCGCATTTTCTTTTCCCCAAATCGAGACAAAAACCTAATAGAGATTCAAATCGTATATACGGACTGGTACCAAGGCCAGATGGAAAGCCATTGGGTCCCTTCATATGGCAACATAACAGGTGACATTGAACTTCTCCCAGAAAAGCTTCGGTACTTTTCGTAAACATTTGCCAGGCACCGACTGCCCTTCAGGTGCCAGCGTGTGCCATTGGCGCCAAAATTCGAATAGAAAGAAAAACATGTTTACAATACCATTTAGGAGAGAAAGGAAATTTGAAAATTAGCAAGAGAAAGTGAAAGAGTTTATTGCCATAAGAGAGTTTTGTTTGAACAAGAGAGTCTGAGTATAAGACTTTGGAATAAATGTCACTATCGTACCTGTCACCATCAAATTCGAAATGATAGCCCATTTTGCATTCAATGAC